TACGAGTTGGTCGGGTTGGTCGGGTTGATATTTTGGTACATTAAAATATTATTTTACCCTTGAATATGTTATTTTTCTACTTATATTTTAATTTCATCATCAACCATTTGATACAACTTATCCATATTTCTTACGTATATATCACATTCAGTTAACTTTCACAATTTACATATATATGTTCACAGTTACTGAACATATATACAAATGAGTTATATAGAGATGTGAATAGATTTAAAATATGTGTATATGAAAAGCTTACATAATAGTGTAATTGTCTAATGTATATATTAATAGAAATTCAACAATCATATTAAATCCAAGAAATAAAAGAATATTGGCTTCATCGGGTTCGGTTCGGTTCAAATAATAGTAACCCAATATCAACCCGATACCTACGGTTTGACAATTTTACAACTCGATTAGACATCGGGTTACTTCGGGTTGAGTTATTTCGCGTTGGGTTGAGTTGGATTGATCGGGTTGGTCGGGTTTTTGAACACCCCTAATTGAAATATGTCCAAAATATAGCTTGACACATTCGTTACTTTAATTCAAAAAAATAATAATTCAAAAACTTGATATGATGAGAGAGCATATTTGGTGGCTGGTCCAACTCGGATCCTTTTCATATGATACATCACTTTTATGTAGGTGATATGTTACATATATCTACATGATCTTTGTTAATTAGTTCATTTTTCGCATCATAAACTATCAAAACGAATTATTGTATTCCGTGACGGATCCAAGAAATTATTAAATTAATGGGGTGGTGGCATTTGGATGAGACTTGGGGGAGGCAAGCATATGGTCATATGGGACTAGGAGGAAACCATATAAAACGAGAATAAAAATAAAAAATTTAAACTAGTCAAAAAATGTTTTTGATCTTTGACTAGAGGCCTTTCCCCGGTCTTTAGGGCTAGATCTACCCCTTTTTGTATTATCTATACTATATTATAAAGCATTTGACAAAAACTCTTAAAACCATTTTTTATGCTTGAAGTGTTGTTTATTAATGCATATTACTTAAAAATCAAAATTACAAGTAAATTTTACGTAAGTATAACTTATTAAAGCTTAATGTTTGAATTTGTGTAACTAACTACAAATAAACATAATCAAATATATGATAAACATCTTATTTTAAATATAAAATATTTAAAATATAATTAAGATAATCATTGATTTGTAACAAAATACTTAATTATTATCTTTATAAAAAATTATATTATAGAACCAAAAAAATGAATTAAATAAATACACAAAAAAATAGAGAAACTTTAAAGTCATTTTGGTACTAATATCAATATTTTTTTTAATTTTTTATAATATCGACCGAGAAAAAAAAAATGAAACATTAAAATCAAGATGTATCTCGCTGCATTATGCGAATACCCTTCTAGTATAAAAAAATACACAAAAACTAAAAGTGTTTAGGGTGGTCTGAAGTGGGCTCAAATAGTCAGTACTACTATTACTATCCGGGTCGGGCTTAGGCCCTTACTAAATATAAATAACTATTTTATTTTCCTAAAAATTATATATTCTTTTTACCGACTTACGTATTTATTATATTAAAAGTAAAGGAAAATATATCGAAACGTAGAAAGTTTCGTATTGTTCATGCAAGGTGCAATTTTAAATACATAGGATCGTTGACCAAAATATTTATCTCATAAATATTTACCTGTATGGTTCTAAATAACTTGTTATAACCTTTTTTTTTTTTTATTTACTTGGATATCCAACCTGCTATGCGAGCCGACTAATCCCAGGACGACCACCTGCTTTGTAGATAGTCCGGAGTCACAGCATTTGAACCTCTATGGCCGCAATTGGATTTTTATATCTCCTTGGATTTGTACTTGAAACCTCATGGTACTTTTGACCTTTAAAGCCAATCTCGGCACCACCCTTATGGTTCGTTATAACCTTGTTATGGTCCATTATGGTATCAAGGTTTGGTTTTCACTGTCACGTTAACCTCTAGGGCTATACTCTAAGATTTGGCTTCTGTTATAAGGTGTTATAGGTGAATCGTTATCTCATTCTCGTGCTTATAAAATTAAATATGAATTATTTAAAAATTAAAGAAAAAAGTGAGCAAAGACATTTAAGAGATTGAAACCAGATTTTGCACACCTCATATCAGTTTTCTTATAAGCTTTATATAGTTGGTATAAATGGTTTTTCTTTTCTTTTTAGCTTTATAACTTTATAAAATTTAAATTGTTCTATGGATTATTCAGAATACTATAACATAGACAATCATGTATATATATACATACACACACACACACATACGTAGGGGTGCTCATTGGTTGGGTTGATTGGGTTGAATACATTTAAAACTCAATCTAATGTTTGTGGTTTGAAAAATCTTAACTCAACCCAACCAAAACTAAAGTGCAACCCAACCCAAACCGTACGGGTTAGTCAGATTAATACTTTGGTACATTAAAATATTATTCTAACCTTGAATATGTTATTTCTCTACTCATAATTTTATTTTATCATCAACCATTTGATACAACTTATCCATACTTTTTACGCCTATCACATTCAGTTAATTTTCTCAATTTACATATATATGTTCACAGTTACTAAACATACATACAGATGAGTTATATAGAGATATGAATAGATTGAAAATATGTGTATATGAAAAGTGTACGTGATAGTGTAATTGTCTAATGTATATATTAATAAAAATTCAACAATCATATTAAATTCAAGAAATAAAAGGATATCGGGTTGAGTTGGGTTGGGTTGGGTTCAAATGATAGTAATCCGATATCAACCCAATACTTACAGTTTGAAAATTTTACAACTCGATTAGACATCAGATTGCTTCGGGTTGAGTTATTTCTCATTGGATTGGGTTGGTAGAGTTTTTGAGCACCCGTACATATACGTATGCAGATACCACCTTAGAGCATCTCTAACAGATACTCTAAAAATGAGAAATTGAAGGTTTTGTTTTCAATTTTACTCTTAACAAGTTCTCTATGTTCTCTAAAATATAGAAAACAGGAAAAATCTCAAAGTTTAGAGAATTCACTAAAAAGCTTAAGATATGGACAGAGAAATTATTATTTTATTCAACTCCATAGAAATTGAATTATTATTATTTTATATATTTAAAAAAAGTATATTGAGATAATAAACTTTGAGAATATTATAATAATATAATGTATGTTGAATGCTCTAAAATAGAGAATTTGTTGGAGTTAAATGTGATTCTTTTTAAAGAGTTTAACGTTTGTTTTTCTATTTTATAAAAATTATAGAGAACCTGTTGAAGATACTTTTAGGGCGCGCCTTGAAAAACAAAATGGTCTAGTCGTAACTCGTAAGGCTTGAGGTTTGACTTCGTCGCCAAGACACTTTTGCTTACTGGTAATAAGGAATACTTTCACTTACCTTATGATCAAGTAAGTTTCTATTCCACCAAAAGACATTATATGAAAAAATTTACCTGGTAAATACTAACCAGGTAAAAGTTGTCACATTCAGTTACTGTGTTATTAAGACTCTTGATTCTTGTCACCTGTCTTAGCGGATAAGAGTCTCGATCCTTGCTATGTAATAATCATTCAACCTAATTTTCTCATAAATTTCTTTTTGAACATGTTCGTTGAAGTTAGGAAATCGAATCTTTTTAGTTGGTTTGCAAGTGGCTCATTTAAAGTTTACAGTGATATTCGAAGAATTTGCACAGTACCATAAATCAGTAGACCAGTACATTCTACCGTTCAAGATTCTTTAATTTCAGTTTGGTGGTTATTTATATTCATTTTAAGTGTTAGTTTGGGGACTGTGTATCTATATGTTTTGTTTTTGTTTGTTATTTCTTGTTGTTGGTTCATCAGTTGCTTCTACGTGGTTTTAATCCTATATCCAACTCCAAATAACCGTTAGTGGTATGTCGATGCTTTTTTCAGCTTTTTTTCCCTCTCTGAGGACTATGAACTTTTAATACATGTGGGTGCCGGTAATCCACCAATGATAATCCCTTGGTGGTCCATCGGAAAGTCGTCAATAAAACATGGTTTTGCCTTTTATTTCTACTATACAAGTATAAAAACACTTTTGGGACCCATAATTGATGATACATTCTGTCGGTAATCGTTTAAAACTCGTCAGTAATGTCTGTCAGTTTAGGTTATCGGCTAAGTCATCATCAATGGATATATTAAATCTAAAATCTGTCGGTAATGATTTTCACTTATAGTTTTACACGTCAGTAATTAGGAATGGTGATTTGCCCCGACCCGGTGGGGAACCCGGTTCACCTTACCCGAACGGGGACGGGGATTCCCCGCTAAAACGGATCCCGGGGCCGGGGATCCCCAGTAGACTCAAACCGAGGATGGGAGATGTTACTCAAACCGGGGCCGAGACCGGGCCGAGGATCCCCGATAAAATCAAACTAAAAGATACTATTTATGGGGATTGACCGGGGTTTTACCAGGTTTTGACCGGAGATTGCTAGAGATTTGACCGGGGACGGGATGATAATCCCCGTACCCGTTGTCATGTCTATCAATAATAGTCTGCTTTTTGTAGTGATGATTAATGGTTTGTTTGTTAACGGCTTAATGGGCTTAATGCGAGTTACTTCTTATTTGACCAGTTGTACACGACTGTTAGGATGTGGCTTAATGATATAAAAAGTAGATTATTGGGTAAAATTGCAGGGAGGGTTTTAGCAGAAAGTCAAGTTTTTTCCAACCTTGTCTTTCCAAATTAAAAAACACGTTCATTCCGTCAATGAAAAAATCATCTTAAACAAAACATTTTAAATCTATACAGACAGATTATTTCACACAGACAATTTTATACATACAAAACTTAATGGAAAAACCAACGAAACAGATTTCGTTCAATTTTATGGAGAATGATAATTTATATAACGGTTAATATATTTGAAATTATAAATCTTTTCGACTTTAATTCTATTCAAAATACACATACAAGTATTTTCAAACCGAAAATGTAAAACCAAAAAGTATATAAAATTCAATTAATCGAACGTACCCAAGTACAGTAACAAAATGGATGGCACAGATGACATAGGTTGTAATAATTCAAAAAAGCAAGCATCGCACTCTATAATTGCCCTCCAAAGAATAAATTCAAAAACTGGGCCCACCCGCATATCCGATCTGTCATCATCGTGACCGTCTATTTTCACAAATAAAACATTCCGATGAACGCAATCGCTTCTATGGATCCCACGATCAAGCCATGCAAGTGAGCGCCAAAACTAACGGCACCAGAAGCATCGGCGCTGGCACTACCGTCATCGGTTGCCGGAGTTTCGTCATCGCTGCCGGATTTCTTCTTTTTCACAGGCTCCGGTGCCGGAGCAGGAGACTGTGGACCAAACAAGCTCATGGGTAACAACACTTTGTCCACCTGATACACTGCAAGAGTACCATCGGTGTAGATCGTATTCGCCACCGTCGCATCCACAACGCCAGTGGTCACATTCACTTGGTTGCCGGAGGTGGTAATATTTAACGGAAACTTATTGCTGGCGCTATCTCCGGCCTGTGTTCTAAGCGGATTACTAATGGTTTGAAACTGTGAAGTAGAAAGGAAATTTGGGACAACATGAAACTGTAACAACTCCACTTTCTGTTGATCGGAAAGAGAGTTTAGGGTTCCGGCTTTGAGACCGGAGAAAGCATTGTCGGTGGGAGCAAATACAGTCATTCCCTGATTGGAATTATTTAGTTGTGTATTGATTTGATTACCCACTTGAGTCATGCCAAAGAGGCGGATGAGGGTGGTGAATTGGCCGGCTTTTTCAAGAATCTTGGTAATGTTGGTGGGGCCAGCCGGTGCCGGAGCCGGAGCTTGAGCAAGGGTGGTGGTGATGCATTGCAGGATGAGTAGTGGTAGTAAGAATCTGATGGTGGGTGATAACTGAGAATGGGTGGCCATTTTTTTAAAGAAAAAGAAAGGTGAAATCTTGAAATCTTGAAATTATGGGATGGGGATGATGAGGGTTTGTAGCAAAGAGGGGTTTTATGGGGGTGAAGAGATATAATGGTTTGGTGGGATGTGGTTGTTTTAGTTGAAAGGGTTACAATTTGAGTTGGTGGTATGTTACAATTATAGTTAAGGTGGCACCTTCAATCCCATTATATATATCACCATCTCTTCAACTCATAAATTTAAATTTGATCATGCAATTAAGACCTCAAAAAGTGCTTATTGTTACGGATTATGTTTGATAATTGGGACTCGAGTTAACGATCTATAAATTCACTTATTCAGGTTTCTTAACGTTTTATCTTATGGGTTTCGTGTGCAATACTAAGTAAAACTAGAATTATAAAGATTCTTGAAGTTACAAGATCGGAAAGGTATGTGGCATTTGATTTCTTGAAAGATTAGTGCGTTACAAGTTGAGGGTTTTTCATCATATACAAACTAAAAAATCACTTGGATCGCGTAATGTTCGTTTTCCAAATACACGAATTCCTTTGTTATTAGCTTTAGGTATCACAATATCACGAATTGCATACTGGGATTCTAAAAGCCGTAAAATTGAGTCCTTATGTATACCCAGGTTCCATGCTTTACATATTTATACAAGAGATCAACGGTTAGACAGTTAAAACGTAACTTCACAACAATTACAACTGGCTCATAAGCTCTGAGTTTGAAGCTTCGAGTTCAGAGGCACAAAGCTCAGAAACATCGGATCCAGAATGCTCAAAAGCTCTGAACATAATTCTCATATTCCGAAGCCTTCAGAACTAGTTTATCTAATCGATCTCAAATAACTCAAAATTACACCAAAATGACTGATAACATAAAATATTGGATAAACACAGAAGAATTGAGGGAGGTGTGTAATGTGTTTAGTGGTTGGAGTAGCAAAAACAAAGAGGGCCATGTGAATGATGAAAGACAGGTTGTAGTTTACTTAAGAAGGCAGGAAAAACACAAGGTATCATATCAAAGGTGGGGTGCTTCCTAACTTAGCCCAAAAGCTATTGTTGCATTCTATCATATCGTATTTAAATTGTATCTTAAATATCAAAAAACATAATTATATAAAATATTAAATGAACAAAATAAATAAAAATGTGAACGTCTTATAACTAACGTTCAAGACCAGTGTTTTTCAAAAATCTATTAAAAAAAATTCAAGAAACGATTTGGACCATGTATGAGGACTAAGGAGCATATACTCTTTTTTGATTTATTGAGTCGAGAGATGATGAATGACCGTATCTCGATCATGATATAATGTTTAATAAGTTGTTTTTGATGACGGTAAAAATCGTTTTCGTAGTTCTAAAATTCTGTAAATGGGCTTGTGTGAAGGCCCATTTGATGTATCTAAGAAGCCCAGCCCAAAATTATAAAAATGGATTGGAATTGGACCACATGAAATTGTATGTTTCGTAGTCTTAATTAAAATGATTTTCAAGTTCTTTTTCTCAAATAAGTCAAAGAAGTACCCCTCCGACAGCCCAACAGTCATCCACTTAAAAGGACCCTCCTTGCGGTGCGCCCTCCTTATTGAAGACAAAGAACCAAATGTATTTCGACCCCGTCGTAGTTCTCAATCATTTCGTGGTACCGGGCATGGCTGAACCATCTACCATGGGGGGAGCTAACGCACAGGGAATAAGCTTAGATAAGAGAATACGTTTCGTTTTTTTTTGTCGAAAGCTCGACCAACGAGAAAAAGTTTTTGGCCGAAGAGAAGACAAAAAGTTGACCCATTTCATTCGTTGGTCGAATCATCCTCGCTTYGCGGGAACAACAAAAACCACCATCTTGCTCTTTCCTTTATTCCGTGCTACCTTTTTCTTTCCAAGTGACGGATGAATGTGATTAGTTTTCATGTTGTTTTTACATTTAAATCTAAAATATTTAATATACAATCAAAATTTCAATTAAATCAATTATACATTAAGAAAAAAGTATTTTTTTCACTTTGACACCTATCTTGTCCGTCTTATTTATTTATTCTTTTAAGCAGATTCTTTTTCATTCACATGTGAAGAACACATTTGTACCATCATCGGAGTATGTGTAGCTTTTCACATGTGAATCTTCATTGATAATGTGTCAACGTATTAGATTTGTAACATCAATCTTAATGGAAGGTTGGATAGCGGTGGTGGTTTTATGTCTTAACCGACTACAAAGAGAAGGGGGGAGGAGAGGATTTGCAGGGATGGGGTCATGTGGTTCGTTGATGATGGAGAAGGAGGAGATGTGGGTTCGCTGGTGAGAAAAAGGAGGTGCATGAAAATGGCGTCGGCCGGTTATATGTAGAGGTCGTCGATTTACACAGAAAGGTCGCCATAGATATATGCATCCTTTGAGTATATATTATTAACTAGAATACCATCTAATCGGACTTATTAACAACCATTAGAGTCGGGAATCAAATCAGCATGGACGAACTTAACCCAGCTGGGTGGTTTAGGTGGCACGTACGACCGTATTATTTCTTTGTGGAAGGGTAAAAAATTTAGGTTTGTTAACGGTGTAACCGTATCATTTTAGAATGTTTTTCTGAAATCCAAATCGTGCAACTGAAACCCAAATAAAACAAAGCCCAAATGGCCAAATCAAAAGTAATATGCAAAGCCCAGTTAAAACTTAGCAACAGACCAACGAGATTACAAGAACAAACAGGAACAGGAACAGGTCCAAGTCGGCAAGCAAGTCCAGACCAGACAGCAACGAGTGAGTGACGAAAATCGGAAATCGGCTCGAAAACTCGAACGATTCCCAACTCTCAAGTGGCGATTCTCGAACGATTCTCCGAAATCAGACGATTTTCGAACGATTCTCACTTTCTACATGGCTATTTGGTGACTTTGGTCTCTGTTTTCAAATTTAGTCATTTATGTAATCGAATTGGTGATAACTTTTTAAATTCTGCCTCATTTGTGCCATATAAAAAGAAGCACATAATAATGTTAAAAATGAAGGTGTCATCGATCGTTTCCAAAAGATGAAGACATGCAGAGGACAAACTTAGGAGTTGTTTCTCAATTCTATAAAAACCATACTTTTTTTAATTATTTTTGGGTGTATATTACCCGTTTTCAAAAGATAAAAATGCGTCGGATACAAGTTTAAGAATTATTTATCGTTCCAATAAAAACCATATTTTTTGTAATTATTTTTGGATCTATATTATATTATATTAATTATATGGTGTCACCATTTGAAAAAAAAATCTAGGTCTGTCCCTGCAAATCAAGTCATTTTTGTATATTACAATGGTCAATTTATAATTTCGAAACTGTAGTGACTAACCAAAGCATAGAGACCAAATTTGTAGTTTACTCTAATTATTGAGTTGTATTGGTTTATAAAATATGAGGTTTTTGAATTTGAATTCGTTAAAATGTTACTAATTTTTTTAATTAACCTGGATATCCAATCCGATATGCGAGTCAACTAATCCCAGGACGACCACTTGTTTTGCGGTTAGTCTGGAATCATCACATTTGAACCTCCGTGGCCATAAGAGGATTTTTATTTTTTCTTGGATTTGAACCTGAGATCTCCAGACACTTTGACCATTGGAGTCCAAGCTGAAACTAATAAGGCACCACCTTTATAGTTAAAAAAAAGGGCAATTGTAATCATGAAACGTTATACTTGTAAGAAAAATGCAACATTTTGTACTTCAATAAATAACTTTTATAAATGATAAAATATCTAGAATCCAACGTGTTTTTTCTTAATTAATGGATCAGCTCCCCAAACAAAATAATTACAGGAAGCGTCACCGTGGTCTCAGTTTTGTTGTGAATTGAGTTCATCGTTCTAACTCTGTTAATCAACCTCCGTTAAGTATCCCTCATAATGCCTCTCATATGAGGGCAATCTAGTCATTTTATCTTTTTTCTTAATTTTTTTTCTTTCTATGCAAATATAATTCTAAATTAATTTGGCCACCACTCTGGTAGCCTTCACGTGGGGGGTCCCCTTTTTTCTATCAACCTCATCAACCGTCACATCTCAATATCACAAATCACTTTGGCCGTAACTACCAAACATTCTCCGTTTTCTTCTCTCAACCCATCACCATCGCAGGAATCACTCCTAGATCGGTGCAGCAGCAAACACCATCAATTCTGACAACGCACCGTCGCCCCTGATTTCTCCATCGTCATCACATCCGAACCCTTTTCTCTTCCTTGTCGCAAAACAATCTCGTTTAGATCTGGATTTGCATCACATGAATCAATCTCATATGCTCCTGGATGTGCAATTGCAACTCTTGGTTCGTATTTGTTGTAATTCATCGATTATTTTAGATTGAATGAATGTGAATCGATTCCATTCAGATTTGCATGAATTTTGATCAGTTTGTTTTGCCATTTGCTATTTTTTTGGATTTGTACACATCTGATTATATATTGTTCATGAATCACAAAATACGCAACAAGTAGCTGTGGAGGTACTAACTTGGTTACGGGAGGGGACGAGTGGTTGCGGGAGATTAAGTTTTAGTTTCTGTTTTTTGTAAATACATAATCATACTTGTACATATAGTTTAAAAGATTGTACTTTAAAATAGTTGACATTAAATGACTAAATTGCCCCTCGCATGAGGGGCACGTACAACAATAGTAAACAGAGTTATGATAAGGGAACCAATTTGTAACAAAACAGAAACCACAGTGATGTTCTCTGTAATTATTTTGTTTAGGACGTGTCCGTAATTTTAATATAACCATAGGGACGAAATTTGTAATTTACTCTTAATGCAGAAATGCTCCAACTGTCATTTGGTATCAATTCAACTAATAATTAAGTAAAATCCATCGTGACATATTTTTTTTAATTAAAAATGTGCATCTAAGGGTGAAAATATATTCTTACTCTTCTCACATCAACTCTCTTTCTCACACGATCATTCATGTGTACATATATATATATATATGTGTGTGTGTGTGTGTGTGTGTGTATGTGTGTGTGTGTTCTCAAAAACTCTTCCCCA